TAAGAAACATAGATCTTCAGTATGTCGATATAATATCAGAATTCAGAATCACTATTGGAAGAGTTCAATATCTGACTGATTCATCAGTTATTCAGAATATGACTTGAGCTGATATAGAAGAAATGAAGGCTCAGGATATTTACAGTGTATGTCGATTGATTAATTATCTAACAGATTCAAATGAGTATCTCCCATAATTAATGCTTGTTGACTGGTCAATTCATTGTCCTTAGGGTATTTACACTTTAATACCATAAATTCTAGTCCATATATCATCTTCGGAATCATTGCTGAAGAAATCTTCCAATTTCTTTATTTCATTTTCACGCTTTCACTATATCATGAAATGCTGACGTGCTTGATTTGTAGTTTATGATCCATAAGAACATTACATCATGTATGCTCATTAACGTTTCCTGACTCATCCAAATCACTTACTTAATCCTTATTCCTTGAGGTTACTTAATTTATTTAGCAGTCAAGTCCATTATAGTTACTTCGGGTTTTTCAGGGTAATCCAGACGTTTCTGAATATCATATACATATTGTACTTCCGTTTAATTTAATTTGGTCTTCGTGGTTGATTTGTCTAACGAATATCCATTTCTTATTACCGAATGTGACCTAGAGTTGAGCTGAGTACTTTCAAAATTATCATCGAACCACACATGAGAAGATGAACACGCATTCAAGTAACATCTATGTCGTTCAGGTACTGGCATATAACACTAGCATTGATTGCTCGAATTAATATGTGATCCATAACTTTTAAGAGCAGTACCACATCCATGTTTATTTGGATTCCTTAATTAATCCAACACTTCTACTAAGTTTAGGTCATAAGGGTATTTTGGTCATTCTGGTGCTCAGTTTCATTCCATTCTTTTCAGAGCTCGAGGATATCCAATTATTCCTGAGCTTGGTGATATTCTTGAGTCATTTTCATTACAGGGGTATTCTGGTCATTTTACAGATCCGATGTATTTCAATCATTTTCTTCCATTCTATCTTATTATTTAATTACAACTTATCATTTATTTCAGACCTTTCAAACAATTCTGACAAAAGAGCACCCTCAAGAATTTATTCTTAACTCGAAAATTTTCAGGTTAATTATCTTCTCAGAAGTTACCGACAGGTTATCAGAAATTTTCTGTACAAAGATAGGATCTTAATAATTAAATCCGTAATTCATTGAGTTAAGTACAAATCCTCAAAGTACTTTCTCATTCAGGGTCAACTTGGGCTATTTTTAACTTTCAATGACATTTTCGTAATTTCTTAACCAGATAATTTTGGTATTAACTCTTAACGAGCATACTTATAATTTAGAGATCCTATGGTTAGTTGTTTCCTCGAACATTCTCTGATCTTGAAATGATTCCTTAACAGACTTCTAGTATCTTGCATAAACCCTCTTGGGGTTAAAACTGGTTATCCATAATTTCCAAGTAAAACTAATATTTCTTATGCACATCAATAGATTTATCAGATCAATATGTCTTTTCAGATTTATTAATCCACTTCTAGGGACAATTCTTATCATTTTCCAACATAAGGGTAATTTCGTAATTTTACCTAATTGGAATATTCTCATAATTTCCCATCCAAGTACCTTTACATTTAACCTTGATGATAAAATATAAGTTACAATCCATGGCTGATTTCTTTGTCATAATCACAAACTTGTAATTTAATTCTAACAATCCTCAATCTTATTAGTCATTCGATCCGTATTCCAGTACGAATTTCTACCACATTCATATCGACTGTATAAATTATTCAACTCCACAAAAGTGACCAACATTATCTTATTCATGTATTTACCAATATCATCATATTCCATAAAGCATAAAGAGGTAGTAAAGTATTACCTCGATTCTCATGCCATACTGATCGACCATATAAATTCCATTTGAATGCCTTTGATCTTTAATTCAACTTCCAATATTTCCTCGGATCCATATCAACAGAAATTACATAAAAACGGAGCTTAATTCCCAAAAATAGATTGAATCGGTGGACGTCAAAAACATAGAGTATAACTTTTCGAAAATTTTGAATTTTCAGTCAAAGTTAAGGGGTTTGACTGACAATTTTGAGGCCTTTGGGTCCGAATTTCGAAATCAGACTCGGAACATCGAAAAACGTCAGGATAGGTATACTCGGTCAAAGTCAAAGGTCGTTTAATGCCGGTTAACAGTGGTCAACGGTCAATGCAAGTCAACGGTCAACGGTCGATTATTTTACAGAAATATTACCCTAACAGAAATTAATTACAAAATTAGCCACCTTCTACGAATATTTACGAAACTAACACTCGAATTTTACACAAATAGCACCCAAATAGAAATTAATTACAAAATTAACACCCAGACGATGCCCACTCTCGGGGGGTGGCGCGTGCGTCGCGTAAACAGTAACACGGTGTCGGAAAATTCTTGAAAAATTTCCTAAAAATTATTTTAAGCAATTTTGAGGCACTTACAAAGCTCGGTTCACAATTTTGAACGGCAGAGAGCTTAATTCTGAAACGTCGAAAACTTTGAAGGTCTCACCCCTCCACGCGCCGGCGACGACAGAGAAACAGAGGACACCGGCGGACTCGGAACGATGCAAGGAACAAGATGGTGCGGGAGGTGTCGAAAACGGATGGTCAGATCATCGTGAATCAACGAAAAACCAACTGAAATCGAGTTAATACCGATGATACTTCCAACTGCAATTAACGACGAACGAAAATGATTCATAATGAAAGGTTTGAGGGGTTTTGTTCATCGATCGACAACGAACACGATGGTGGTTTCGGTTCGTCGATCGGAGGTCGGATGGCGAGTAGATCGGAGTTGGAAGGAGGGTCAACGGGAGAGGGAAACTGAGAAAACATTATGTAGAAACGCATGGGGAAAGGGGGTTATAATTTATCCCATAAAAAATGGGTAAATCATGAGTTTAGTCACTATACTTCCTGCACTTCTTAAAATGGTCTTCCAACTTTGAAATTTTACAATTTAATCCATCGTTTCTTTCAAAATACCAATTAAATCCAATACTTTATAATTTCTAAAATTTAGCCCTCAAATTGGAGTATTACAAAATCAACCAAAATTGAAGTAAATCGAAGAAAAAAACAGAAATAATCCTCTCGTTTTTTAGACAAAGGCCATCGGATTAGAGGGGATTTATCTTCCCCGAGCATTATAAAAAAACCTACAAATAATAAAGAGGGGATTAGTTTTTGAAGCCTTCGAAACCCATATAAAAACCACAAAAGAGAGAGAGGACTGACTTAGCTTTGTCGTGGAGAGAAGGAACACCATTAGGAAAACCTAGGTTGCATGCGTAAATCTATGCCATTAGGGATTCCTTTTCGTTGATTAAGGTATATATTTGGGTTTAGTGCAGTGAAGGTTTTCAAAAGGGATAGGTTTTAGGTTTTCAGTCTCCGTGGCTGGTGATCGGAGTCGTGGTTGGTGTAGTGGTTCATCGGAGATGGTCGTTATTTTCTAGAAACAGTGAGAGGAGTTCAGAGCATCAAAAAAAAATGGTTGAAGGGGAGAATGAAACAAAAATCACAATTTTTGGCTTATATATGTTTGTCGTATGAGAATTTTAGAGTTAATTATTTCTGTTAACTCCCATATCTTCCCTGTAATTCGTTTTAGTCTCTTTATATAAATTATTGAAATTCACTTACAATTTGTCCATAAAATTTAAAATAACTTTTAATTTAGTCCTAATAAATAAGATTAATGTTCATCTACTTTTATTATTATTTATACATTAACCCTTTTTGTTGTTTTGCAGCATTTATCATTTATTTTTATTTTATCCTTTTTTTAATTTTATTTTTAAGGAATTTTTTTACTCCGAAATAAAATTAAAGTTGATTAACTTGAATCGAACTTTAAAATTTTTGTCTAAATTTAAACTTTCACAATTAAGACAACCAGTTAATCATGTTGATACCGAAAAGACAATTTTAGGGTGCTCATCCTTCCTCGTTTGTAAATGACTTCCAAATCAGGAAAATTTCTGGTCATATGCAGATCTGGTAAAATGGTAATTTAAGGCATATGATCTACCTAATTCAAAAATGATCAGTTGTGACTCCACATCAATCCAAGTCAAGACGCGAACCCGAGACTATCTAAAGGACCGTTACGACATGAACTTCATTAGGTTCCTGTGATAAATTTTAATAAAAATAGATTTTTTAACCTTATCACCCCCACATAACAATTATAATAAATAATATAGAACCCTAAAAAAATTAACCAAACACATATTTTAAATTATTTTTAGCGCCAAAGTTATTACGCTAATTTTACCTAGTATAGAAATCAAAAGAGAGGAAAAAAAGGCGCTCTGTAAATGTAGAAAAAATTATTTCATGATCTCGGTTCACCACGTCATTTATGATTTTAATAAATGTGAATCATAAATTTTAAAATAACTTTTAAATAACTACACACTTTTTATTTACACATACGACTGAAGTGAAGATTTAACTTTAAAAAAATGAAAAATTATTATTAATTTAGAACACAGAAATGTGATAAACTTGAATCATCTAATAATTTTTCGTAACCGTAGTCCCAGACACAAATATGACTGCTAGCTATCCGATGTGTAAACAGGTGAAAACTCCATGTGTATATTTCATCTTCACAGACATGGAAACGCGATATCCACAAGACGATTTGACCTTATTTTCAAAGTCACTAATCGTATAAATAATCGTTCCATTATTGGTCGTTTTGCTTGAATTGTGCTCTTTTTAAGTTTTCACCAGTTTCTTTGCTTATTTTCCGATTTGAATGTGATCGTACTATGGCCGCTCAATCCTCCAAGGTATCCATTCATGACCTCACTGTTAAGGTTGATTTTGGGTAGAATTCAAATTTATGCTCCATATATGAATTTTGATTTACTGGGTTTCTTTTACTTCGTTAGCTTTTCTATGATATGGGTTTTGATTTTTGTATTTTTGGCTCGTCAGGAGACGTTAATTTTGGGATTTACAAGGGCAAGGTCCTGTTGATTGTCAATGTTGCATCTCAATGGTATCCTTCCATTTTAGATAATTTTGTCCCCAACAGAAGAGACTTTTTCATTATATTACTTATTTAGATCACTGTTAGTGCCTAGACAAAGTTTCTAATTTGCTGCTTAAAATTGATCCAGTGGCTTGACCAATTCCAACTACACGGAGCTGAGAAAATTGTATGAGAAATATAAAGATCAAGGTTTGCTTTAGGCTTTTAGTATCGTTTAGCCTTCCTGCTAGTGTTTGTGTATATGTATATGTGTATCATCTTTTACCTGGAAAATTTACATGGAAAAATGTTAATAACCCTTTAGTTTTCAGTTTTATTATCAATATTCCAGGAATAGTAATTTGACCAATTGATTTGTTATTTTTCTCCCAACTCTTTTATGCCGGTTTTACTTTACTGTGTTGTTCAGATTTTGAGATTCTTGCATTTCCATGTAACCAGTTTGGGGGACAGGAGCCTGGGAACAATGAGCAAATCATGGAGTTTGCTTGTACTAGATTTAAAGTCGAATACCCCATATTTGATAAGGTGTTTCATTTGGCAATATGAAAGCTTGTAGTATGCTTTGATGTTGTTTGGACACTTCGAAATCATAGACGAGTCAAGGATCGAATATGCAGAAACAGGCTCCACAGTTGAACTAACAATAGGACAAACACTGTGTAGAATCTCAATTTTGGGTTCAATCAGTCTCAAAACTCTTTACTCTGTATGCGTCGGTGATAATGGTGGTGTTGTGCCAGCCTCTTCAATGCTTTAGTGAAATTATGGAATCATTAGTGTTTTCAGTTAAAGTTGTATAATATCAGATAGTCCTGTCTTATCCATGGGATTGTAGGTTCTACATTTTCCTTCGAGTTGATCATTATTGAACTGACATTATCGCCATGTTATTTTTATTACAGGTTGATGTGAATGGTGAGAAGGCTGCCCCCAAATACAAATTCCTCAAGTCTAGTAAAGGTGGACTTTTTGGGGACACCATTAGGTGGAATTTCTCCAAGTTCTTGGTCGATAAGGACGACATTGTCGTCGATCGTAATGCTCCAACTACTTCTCCTCTTAGCATTGAGGTAAGGCCTGCTTATCACATTCTTGTGCCATTCCTTTTTTTATATATATATATTTACTGTGTATTGGGTGTGAAAACTTGTAATGGTTGCTATTTGTATTTGCAGAAGGATATAAAGAAGCTGCTGGCCTGAATTTGATTGACTGGGGGAGGAAGTCACAGAGTCGATAAATTAGAAACTTTTATGAATATAAAGACTATTCTATCTCTGTTTACATTTCATCATCCCCTAATGATAGCTAAACAGTGCTACAGTTTAGAAGTTGTACCTTACCTTTTATAGTATTCTATTCACCATGGAGAAGGATATATCATAAGGGGTGATTATTCGTGTCGAGTCAAAATATTTTGAGTCAGTCGAGTTAATGAGTCTTATTTTATAATTTAAATTTATTTGAATTTTTTAAATTTAGATGTTCTAGTTTTTTTTTTAATTTAATTATAACTATTTATAATATTACCGTATAGAATTTAGTTTAAATAACTTTATCTAGTCATATAAGATATGGGAAAGTCTAAAAAAAGTAGTCTACTTGAAGGAGAAAAACAACAAAAACGAATGCGGTCAAAAATGTGATAAAAAGGTAACATTTTAAGTTGTAGGCAACTTAAAATGTAACATTTTTGCTAAACCTAAAATGGTAAGAAAAAAATAACTAAAAATATTATAAAAAATGTCATATTTTAAGTTGTGTTCAACAAAAAATATTAATTTTTATAACATTTTCGATCATAATCATTTTCATCATTTTTTAACCTTAAATTAGTAGGATATATCGCATAACCACCTATAACATACACCTTATTATTTTTTTACATGTATGGATTTCCTTAAAAAAATACATGTATGGATAAAAATTTATAATATTATTTAATAAATTAAATATTATTTAAAATTATAAAATATATTTATAATTTTTATTTTCTAAATAATAAATTTGAGAATAAAATATTGATGAGATTATAAAAGGTAAAAAAATCAATAGAGATAAAGAACTTATAAAAGTATTATGTTGAATTATTAAATTGAATAAAAATTTAAAGCAGTAAGATTAAAATATAAAAAAATATGTTATTATTTTTTAATAGTGTGAGATGATTATAAGATAATACATTCTTAAAAAATAATTAACGGTTAGTAATGCACACACGTCCTATAGACGTAACTGTGCAAACTCATGATTTTTTAGGGAGAATTTAATCGATGAGATCGCTATTGGGTTAAAAAAATAAATGAGTGGTAGATGAGTATGATTTAAATTTAGTTTAAAATTGACTTAAAATGAAGCATGAAACAATAAAATTAAGCAAAGTTGAGAAATCAAATTAAAAGAAAATGTTGTCAAAAAGATAGAATCAAAGTTACATAACTATTCTAATTTAAAAGTAATTAAGTTAAATTTGATTAAAAATGAACTTAAAATGAATAAGTATTTAAAGAAATTATTAATAAAAATTAAAGAAACAATAAAATCATAGATTAAACTGTAAAATAATTAAATTATTAAATTAAAGATCGAAATTACGTTTAATTTTTTTATTATTTAAACTTTGAAAATTCGAACTCAATTCGGATTCAAATAAAAAAAAACATTTTTCAATCAAATCGAGCTTTATTTGTACCTAAATCTTTCATTCTCGAATTTATTTTTCCATTAGCAACGAAATTGTTAAGATTTCAACTTAAAAAAATATGAGTTCTAGTGTTTCTACAACTTCTACTTAGTTTGGTTGGAAAAATAAAAATATGGATTATTTTCATTCTTAGTGGTGTATTATTGTTTTCTTCTTCTTCGTCATTTATTTGATTAGAAGATGGTAAAAATCATGTTTTGGTTATTTACTATCGCTACATTTTTAAAATATAATTTTATCTCCTAAATCAACATACTCTATTGTGTTTAGAGGTTTAAGAGTACTAGAATTTTCTAATATTCAATCTTTTGATAAAGATAATTTTTTAAGTGTAATAATTTTGGTTGAATTTCTGAAGTAAATTTATTTGGTTCAAAGAGTTCAATAATTTTATTATTATTCTCTTTGCATCTTTACATCAAATACTTACACATGCATCTTTGCATCAAACATTCATCGTTACATACATATTCATAAAAAGCTATTATTTCCGTCTTTTTAAGATTTCATTAAGAAAAAAACTCATCTTTCTCAAGATCATTTTTCCCTCTCTTAATGACATCCTTAAAATTTTCAAAAAAAAAATCTTATCTTTCTTAAGATCATTTTTCTTTTCTTGAGGATATATTTAAAATTTTTCAAAAAAAGTCTTATCTTTCTTAATATTGTTTCTCCTCTCTTAGAGATGTTTTTAAAATTTCTCTTTTAAAAAAATCTTGTCTTCCTTAAAGCTGTTTTCCTATAAACTTCACTATTTTGTTTATAGAGACTATTTCCCTTGAAACACCAAATTTATTTCCCTTGAAATTGTTCCTCTTGAAATACCAAATTTATTTCACTTGAGATAGTTTTTCTTTATATAAATTTTATCTCACTCGAAATGTTTTCCTTAAATGAAAAATTTATCTGACTTGAGATAGTTTCTCTTGAAATAAATTTTACATTACTCGAAACATTTTTCCTTGAAATAAAAATTTATCTCACATGAGATAGTTTCCCTTGAAACAATTTTTGTTTAACTTGAGACAACTTCCCTTAAATCACAAACATTGAGACCCTTTTGCTCGAAACAATTTTTTTCTTGCTTGAGATTGTGTCTCTTGAAACAAATTTCATCTCGCTTAAGATAGTTCCCTTAACACAAAAATTTTATCTCACTTGAGATTGTTTTTTCTTTAAACAAATCTCGTCTCGCTTGAGATAATTTCCTTGAAAGTCTAAACATTGAGATAGTTTCTCTTAAAACAAAAAATTTATCTCACTTTAGATAATTTCTCTTGAAATAAATTTCATCTCACTCGAGGCATTTTCCCTTGAATTTTTTCTCTCACTTGAGTTAGTTTCTTTTGAAATAAAATTTTATCTTGCTCGAGACATTTTCCCTTGAAACAAAATTTTATCTCACACATGATTTCCTTCCCCTGAAGTAACTTTTGAGATTGTTTATTTTTAAAAAAAGGAAAAGAAAAATAAAAATTCTCTTATTTGAGATTGTTTCTCTTGAAATAAAAATTTTTAGGATCATTTTTCTTGAAAAAATCCATCTCACTTGAGAATGTTTATCTCGATACACGATCTTTGAAAATATTTCCTTTAAAATAAAAGTTTTATCTCTCTTGATATTGTTACCCATGGGATTTGTTTCTTTGGAAACAAAAATGTTGTTTCCTTTGAGATTTATTTTCAAAGAAATATCATTTTCTTTAGATTTGTTTCCCTTAAAAAACTATTTTTTTTTGGTCTTCCATGAGAAAGTTTCTCTTGAAACACGAATTGTGAGATTGTTTCTCTGAAAACAAAAACTTTAATATTGTATTTTTTCTCGAAAAAAAAACTTCAAGACCACTTACCTTCAAGCACGAGTCTCATAAAACAATACAACAATATGACCCACTCAAAGAGATTGGTCGAATAAACCGACTTGTAATATTTTTTAGATGCATTAACCAATGATAATGGTGGCTTTGTAAAGCATGTCTTCTTGAAGAAACGACAGGATGAATCGAATCATTAATTTTTCAATTTTAATCTTCATGAAGTGACTATAAAGCAAACCAACTCAAATTATGTCATCGTAAAGAAACATCGAAGTGGATCGAATAAATCACTATGAATCGTATCATCTTTCCAATTTCATATAAATATAAAGCTATATAAACCAGACAAAATTGGGGTTTTTATCTTTTCTCTACTCTTGTTCCATGCCAATGAGTAAAGAGGGAAAACTATAATACCCAATTTTTTTGGGCTCCAAATTTATCTGATTATGTCATTTTCTTGGAAAATGCTAGAGAGCCCGTTCATACTTACCTTGAAGAAAAGAAAAGTGTCATCATATAATAGAATATCTTAAGGAAAATCTTGTCATATCAAGTGTGATCTTCTATCAAGAGAAAAGATTATATTAATTGATGTGATTAGATATGATTGGATTTTATTTTATAGATATTAGAATCTTGTATGATTTGGGCATATCTTAGTCATTGATGTAAATAATCTCGATAATTAGATGTAGGGTGGTTCAACTATAAATATGGACATCCTCTAAAAAAAGAGAGAAGAGAAAAGAGGGAAGGAAAAATACAGGAGATTCACCTTAAGTATTGTAATTTTGAAGATACAAACAATACAAGAGATTTTTTTTCTTAAAGGTATTTATTTTTTTATATTTTTACTTTTGTTCTTGTTGTTTCGGTTGATTTTGGTCTTATTTTTTTCAAAAAAAATCTATCAGAAGGGAGAAAACCAAACCTAGAAACAAGAAAAATGCTTTCGAATAATTTTTCTTAAATCTAACATTTTTTGAATTTTCTCAAGGAAAATTGATGATATCTTACATATATATATATATATTGTTTCATTCAATCACAATCTTGTTTTTGTTAAAAACTCCATCGAATGAGAGGTATAATTGTAACAATCCGATAATATCAAAATAATAGTTAAATGGAATTGAAGATTTAATTGTGAAAATTGGTAATTTTTGGGGACTAAATTGAAAGATTTTAAAACTTATAGCTTGTTTTAGAGTTAAATAAAATTCAGGGACCAAGCCCTGAATTTACCCCAAAAAAATTAGATATTTGGTTTATATATATATGATATATGCGTGAATTGGGTTCTGAAAATCAGAACCCAATTCCTCCCAAATTTCCATTTCCTTACCTCAACTTCAGACGACGATTCCGACGACGTCCGAATTCCGATCGTCGTTTTGAAAGCACCATCGTGTTCGTTATCGAGTCAGGAACAATCCCCTCAGTTTAATTGAAGCGAAACGCTGCCAAACGTCGTGAATTTCAAGTCAAAGTATCGACGTTTGTTTTTAGCCCAATCGCCTAGAAAATCCTAAATTCATCGCCGATCGTTGCTCCGTTTACGACACCTCCCGCACCATCGTGTTCCTTGTGCCGTTCCGAGTTCGCCGGTGTCATCCTCGATCTCCGTTAACGGCGGCGCGTGGGGAGGTGGATCAGTCAAAGATTCGGCCGAGTCAAAATCGAGCTCTCCGCCGTTCAAAAATTTGAACCGATCTTT